GAGTTTTCGTTGCTTTAAAAAAATTCAACGGTACGGTTAACGGATACGTAACCATAACCGCTATTTTGACAGATAAAAAACAGTTTTCGGACTTTCGGTTCATCGGTTCGGAGCCGACATACGATACGATAACCGAAAACTGAGAGCTGACTGAGAGCACAGCCCGTAGCGTAGTGTTTTGATTTTTGGTTTTTGTATTGTTTTTTGATTTGAAAGTGCTTTATATGACTTTATTGGGTATCGCTATATAGGATGGACAATTTAATTTTATTGGGCTCTAGTGATGAATCGGATTTGGAGGATGCTATGTTGTTGGAAGGATTTGAAAACAACATCGAATATCGAGCAGAGTTTAACCTAGAAATATTATCTGACCAAGAGTGCAAAGCTAATTTCCGCTTTGAAAAAAAAGACATTCCTCGATTAGTTGAAGCAATAAAAATTCCCAACGAGTTTAACACAGATAAAATAAGTAATCAAAACATAAACAAAATAGAACGAGGTTAGGTTAGATCTGTATTTTTCAATGTTGTGTTCTACTGCGCTAGTGCGCATGCGTACCGCTATGTTAACGGCTTTGGCTAACATCCGTAAAATATCGGCAGTTAGCGGTTACGATATACGATAATCGAAATTTAAATGTCAAAATTGTCAATTAGCGTTAACCGGAATTCCAATTTGTAAGCAACGAAACTCCCTAATATGCCCAAATATTAACTGAACTCTATAATTTATAACAAAATAGTAATTCTTGCCACAAGAAGCTGTATATTTTTCAATCTCTTTGATCACATGCGCCCCTAAAGGCGATTTTCTAACTTCATTTAGATCATGAAATCTGGGCCCAAAATTTTTGCGTTCGATTCGCCTCCTCCTTTTAGACTCCATAAACCAAATATATGTTTTGACAAGACTTTGACAGTTAAAACAACAAATTACAACAGATTATATATTGATTATTATATGACTTGAAACACCACGGCACTGGAATTAAGTTTTATGTGACCTTGAACAGATTAGTTCACATGGTGTGCGTTCCACTAAGCGCTCATAATGCTAAAAATATGCCTTCGGTCGTTCCACATGACGATCGCGGACGTTGTGGTCGCGGCGTAAACGTCACTAATGACGTCATTATTTTCGCTCACGTCGAGCTCACAACGACCCATCTGAATATTAGGATCGAAGTGGACGTTGAGGAATTTTGGCGCAATTTTTAAAACTTAGACAAAAGATTATCGACTTAGGATAAAAATTTTCATAGATTCTCATAGCCAATAATACGTGGCCTAAGTGTTCGCTTTTTACGTCGCGATTTTGTAAAATTGCATTCCACTATTAATTCGTCTGAACTGAACTAGATGAAGAAGTTTCAGACACATTCCGATGCACCAAATATCCAACTGTCGCCAAAGACATTTTGATTTCTTTTTTTTAGACAGATTTTTTGAATTCTCTTCTGTGATTTTGACTATTATTTACTATTTATGGGACACATACATGGGGGGGATACATTGACAGGATTGACGCTTAAAACGCCCCATAACCCATTCCTCTTGAGTTTATGATTGTAACGCTCGCAAGCAGGTGGAACGGGAAAAATCGCGATCTTGAGCGTGAACGTTATGAGTGCTTAGTGGAACGTACTCATATGGTAGCGACCTTGTAGCGACCAATAAATCACTCCCAAACATTCGTGGCGTTTACTATACGACATTCTTTGTATACGACTCCAACGTCATAGCAGCGTAAAGTCCTAACGCTTTAAGCTTGATTTTCATGCATCCGTTATCCGACGATACGTTGATACGATATTAATTTTATTGGCTGAATTTAAAGACTTCGATTGGTTAGAAACGGTTAACCAATCGAAGTTTTTAAATTCAACCAATTAAATTAATATCGTATCGTCGGACAACGGATGCATAAAAATCAAGCTTTAAACCACGCGGCCACCGAGGACTTGAAAGATTCTATGTAAAATTCTTACTTAAAAGATAATGTTTAGTGAAAATACTTTTTTATTTATAAACATAGTATTTGTTCTTATAGCGGCAACATAGATACATTAGCTGTAAAAATGTCAACTGTCTAGCTATAACGGTTCATAAGATAGACCTTTGTGACAGACGGATGAACGGACAGCGAAGTCTTAGTAATAGGGTTCCCGTTTTTACCCTTTGGGTACGGAACCCTAAAAATCAAGGCCCTGACACACGAGCTAGTGGTAACGGTCGAAAAAGTGGTACGCCAATGAGGAACTCATAACCAGGGCCATATGTGAGCTAGGGGTCTGAACTTTGGGAATGTAGATCTTTTCATGATATTGGTATGTCGATAGATTGGACTAAGGCCAACTTGACCGTGTACGACACGTGTCACTGTGACAGTTAGCTTTGACGTAAGAAACGTCAAAAGTTGATGTCGTCCGATCGCGACCAAATTTGGTGGGTAGACTATGTGAGCGACGGAGCACACGATCCCACCCTGCAAAGTTGGATACGACGTTTCGTTTACATCTTTATTAGGGGTGGGGTTCTCTAAAGAGACGAAATAATCAGGATTTTTCTTAATTTTGCGTCGATTGGAACTAAACTCGGTAGAGGTACCCGCATGGAGCCCTCAAACGAACAGACGGTCATTTTAATACGAATTTTGTGAAAGTGAATTATTTATTAATTTTTAATACTTTTTCAACATTTCAAACTACAGTTTTTCAAACATGTCCTTCAAATCCTTCAATTTAATAGCTGTTAGTAAGATGATTCACTTCAAATATGCGCACATAGTGCACACACAATTTTTTTTAATAATTGTAATTAATTTTTTTAATAATTGTAATTAATTTTTTTAATAATTGTAATTGTTAAACTGTCTAAAATATATATATTACCTATGTATGTATCTACATTAAAAAAATAAAATATTCTAATTAAGTCTATGCTTAACTCTGCACAGAAAACACAATAAATATAAAGATGTTTTAACGCTTATTAACAAATTAACCATCAAGGGTAGTATAATATTTGAAGCAAGTTCTAATAACGCGAATTTACAAAAGCTGTTCTGTGACCTTGATAGAACTTATTTATAAAACGGAACAGCAGGTAGGTATGCAAAAGAACCTGATTATAAATTAAGAATTGTATAAGTAGAGGTAGGTTGGTCTATTAAAATAATAATATTCAAAAAAAATAATGTTTTGTTCGTGGATATCGCTAAATAAAATAAATTCAAGTTAAACACGGAAAAAATTAACTATTTAAATTATAAATTAAGTAGGTATAGGTAGTAGTTAAATTAAAAGTATTAAAGCACTCAAATTTCTAATATTTACATTATGTTATCTCTAACAACGCGAATCTAAGAAACATAAAAGTGTTTAATGTAATATAAAAGGATTTACTATTAAGTATTTGTAATTAAGAAAATAATAGGATTATAATTATTACATATTACTAGGAATGTTAATACGTACAGATCTTTTAATATACAAATAATAGAGTATGACCATTATTTAGTTGCAAATACCTAAAATAATAGTATACAATATAAAACAAATACACACGTAACATTCAATAATTATTGATCAGAACAATTTAATTGATTTCTGCCTGACCAATTTATCAACAAAGGAACTGTCTGTAAAACTAACTATTAAATATATAGTTGCATGCTTCAAGCACAACGGCGATCTATTTTCGAAAACAAACATTAGAGAAATGTTTGTTTCCAAAATAGTAGCAAAAGAAAAAGTAACAATTTTCATACCGAATTCCGATGAATGGTCAAGTGATGCACATCCTTGTATGAATAGAGAGGCAATTTTTGGTACTTTGCGTTGGAGAATGTTTTCTTCATCGTTGCCAGAAATTTTGAAGATGAACAGCGAGTAGTTCTGTGTAATTTTTTTTACATATTTTCGAAAAAACATTTACCTATCAACGCGCTAGTTGTCGACTTGTCAAGTGACGGCATCGTACAGCTGTTTTTGACAGTTCAACATGAAGTTAGCGACGATATGGCGACGATCCATAAAACGGTTTATTTGAACGAAATCTTAATTTATGCAAAACGTTTTAAAATTTTTCTGCTGGATATCGACTTTTAGCTAGTTAAAAACTACAATAATTAATTTCTAAAAGAAAATATTTAATTTCAATAGGAAGCAACTAAAATATTCCCGTCTCAAATTCATAAAACATTTTGAATCTGATGTCGAAATACTAACGTTTTAAAAATGGCTTTAGGATCTAAACCAAAACGCATGCGAATTTTAGATAAATATAATAATTTTGCGCAAAAAAACGCTGGGTTTTAGTATAACGATTTAAAATATTACTTACTCCAATAGTTTTTCTTTGATTATTGGAAATAGACGGTAATTTTCCAGAACTAAAATATGCGTTCGTCATCAACACACTTTTAATAAGATTTTGAAAAGGAGAATAAAACAATTAATTTTGAATATGCCATTCTGACAGAAATACTGATTTTGATGTTTTCGTTTGACAATTGACAATATACTGTCTGTTAAACACAGTAGCGTCCTCTGAGCCATAAACTCTGAGCGTCCTCATATACAGGGAGAGTATGAAAACTCTCCCATCTCACCATGTTTACGGCAATATTCGTGCTACTAAATCTGTGCAATTTGTTAGCACATTTCTTGAAGGTTTGATAAACGGCCTGAAAGATTCAGTCGCGTACTGATATACAAAGAATAATCCAAAAGTTACTATGTTTGCAAAATCTGTGCAGGTTAAATACAAAAAATGTTTTGTATCATTGTGAAGCAGGAAACTGCTCAGAAGAATACGCTCATATTGGACGCGTTCAGGGACGGTCAGCGGCTGAGTAAGCGGTTTCCTTAAACGGTCTCTTTTTACAGGCAAAAACATTCAGCCGCTAAGCAAAATACTCAGCGGTCGGTCAGCTGCTGTGTTCCCTGAACGCGCACCCGCGCACATTGACTTAGGAATAGTTTTTCAATGAAATACGTTTTATTTATAAGAGTATATATTTTAAAAATCCATATAAAACTAAATTAAATCCTACAATATCTACAAAAACTCCATTTCTCGCTCAATACCGACAAATTTTAGTTGCTCGGTAGGTCCATATCTATAACAAGGAAAAAAGCGTTAAACAATTCTTATTGATCAAAATTCTACAATTTTACTCACCTGTAGTCGAAAAAGAGTTCCTCTCCAGGCTGGATAGCTCGTTTGGCAAAAATTCCGATTCTGTGGTCACCGTTCACCATCATCACTTTTGCGTAACAATTCGGATTAATGGAATGATTGGCGAAACGAATCTTGTTTCCTTTTCTGGTAGCGTCCACCACAAAATCTAAAAAGCAATGAGAGGTAAAAAATATCTAAAATGAGAAAAGTCTATAGAAAAATTTTTTGTGGCTTTATTTCGCCTTAAACTTAAATTGTACAATTTTAATTACTTTACTAAAATTAATTGTTTTAACAAAACTACTACACAATATATCAGATTTCCGCCCAACTATTACTGTCCTCCATTCACAGTTGTGCAGCTCTGAACTGTTCAAGAACGCGATACTCATACTCTCAATCCATTCAATTGAGTTATAAAGTTCAGAACTGTTCCGCGCCATATGGAGACATCGGGCTATCGCGCACAGCTCCTTTCAGAACCGTTCTGAGTAGCCCAGGGCGTAAAGCTGTGGAACTTGAATTTCGCGAATGGAGGACAGCAAATGAAGACTCACCATTATTTAAATTAAACAGGAAACTGCACATATATTTATCATAAACCTTTCCCCTGCGGTCTGCCTCGTCCTGAGATATGATCTCGCCGCAATATTCAGAGATAAACTCGTTTTTCTGTGCGCTGTCCTTCAGAAAAATGCCCCAGCCGGCAACATCGGAGGGTGCCATTAACAAATGTTTGTCTGAAATCGAAAAAATATCGCTTGTTTATTATAATCTAAGCCCTGTCTGTGACTATTCCCTTTTTTACGATTTGGTGAAAAATGTATGTAATTGTGTATACAGGATGGTCTGAACTGTATTCCGGAAACTTCGGTAGCATATTCTGCAGATAGAAATAATTAAAAAAGTTCGTATAAATGTATGTCTTAAAATGCATAGTTTCAGAGATACAGGGTGTAGAATTTTCATTTTTATTTCGATTTTTTTCAAATAATTTCTGAAGTAACGCCAATATTTAGAAGAAAATTGGTGTCTGGGAGTTTTTTGACATTATAAATTTGATTTTCATGTCAATATGACCCCTATTTGTAGGGGGCGCCACCTATATGTGTTTTAACTGTTTTGAAGAGTAATAACTTTTCGTCTATAGTAAACTACTGACTGGAAAAATATACATTTTCGTGACTTTTTACGTAAAAAATATCTTTTGGTAAAAATAGCTACAAGCAACCGTTCTCAAGATATTCTGAATGGAAATAGTCAATACATGTCATTATTGACAAAAAATAAACACGTTGAATAGATAGTTATTTCACTGAAATAATAAATTTGGGAAATTTTTGTTTATTTAAAATATTCATAAATTTTTCTGCAAAAAAATGTTGATAAAACAGTTTCTCTTGAACTTTTGGCACAAAAATATTTCAAATTTATGATTTCAGTCTAATAACTATTTAGTCAACATGTTTAATTATGTCAATTATCGTAGGTATTGATAATTTAGATTCCAAATATCTCGAGAACCATTATTCGTAACGATTTTTACCAAGAGACTTTTTTTTACGTAAAAAATGTCGTAAATGAATTTTTTTTTACTCGGTAGTTTTATACAGGTACGAACGAAAAGGTATTAGTCTTTTTATTATTTTTATTAGTCAAAATCAAATTTCTCATGTCAAAAAACTCCCAGACACCAATATACATCCAAATATTGACGTTCCTCCAAATTATTTGGAAAAAATCGAAATAAAAGTGAAATTTCTACACCCTGTATCTCCGAAACTAAGCATTTTAGAACATACATTTATACGAACTTTTTTGCTTATTTTTATCTGCAGAATATGCTGCCGAAGTTTCCGGAATACAGTTAGGACCACCCTGTATAGTGTGTATTTGGTGGAAAATAATATGTAATACATCAAAACATTCAAAATTGTTTTTTTTTAATAAATTTTAATAAAGACCGAGACACACCAAATTCATATGAATATTTTAATTATTTGCACAATTTATTTGTCCTGTTTTTTTTAATGCTGCTAAAATAACTTTAAAAAGAGTCCTAGATTTACAGAAAAAGTTAAAGTATAAAATAGAGCAAGTAATATAATATTGATGCTACTTAAAAGAGTATTTTTCATACAGATTGTAAAGCAGCGTCTAGCACAGATCTCTCGGCCACAGAAAGTCTTGGGTTGGAATTCACCTTTGAATAAGAAGACTAAGGAAGGAGCATATCAAAAATCTTAGGTACACCGCGATGGGCCTCAAATATGGCCGACTTAAATTCCGGTTTATCAGTGTCGTTCTAATTTTATTTAAAAAATGTAAAACTATGATGTAGGGTAGACGTGGGGTAGACTCAATAATTTGTTGTTTTATTTTACATTGTGAATAAATGTTGGTAGTTATTAAAATTGTTATAAAAATATATAATTCTAATAAAATAGATAAGTTATAATAAGTATTTATTAACACAAACATCCGATACGCTACTGAAGCAGGTAAGTCAAATTAACGTATCAAAATTCTTTGACATCTGATCTTTGACAAGTAGTGAATAAAAGCTAAAATGCAAGAAAATATATAATTTAGTTAATTTAAGTGAATTTCATAAATGATCGGTTTACTACATGTATGTATATTATATAGTCACTTACTAGCGAAAAGTTGTTCCATTATTTCACTCAATTTTTTCCGAGATCTACCGCACGCTACACAACCAACTATTTTAGAGTTTTTTTCGATAAATCGCGATAATGTCACTGTTAATTTAAGTTCTGCCACAATTTCCATCTACATTTACTACCTTTATACAACTATCAGTAGTAGAATAAATAATAAGTAACATAAAATAAGCTCCGTAAAGACTGACAAATCCACAAAATTTCAAATCAAATTCAAATGTGTCAAATGAATCGTCAAACAGAACTGTCAAGGATCCCCACCCTAGAGAGCTTTTATGGTGCCTTTTCCGCCCACCATGCATGAATACATGGATAGCATTAAGCTCCTTCCTTAGTCTTCTTATTCAAAGGAATTCACATGTTTAGGAGTAAATCGCTATGGTAATCTAGTAAGCTGCGAGAGAGCAAAACGTAAAGTGTTGCTTGGGAAAATACTTGCTCTTCTCTCTTTGTTCAACACTTGTTACGAATGAAAATCGGCACACAAAACCAGCTATGGCCGACCATGTATGTATCAACTGTTTAGGTACTCTCTTACCCGAATAATACTTAACACTGAAGCCCTATATTAATATGGATAGGAAAAAAATCAGACCAGGGTATCAAAAAAGTATTTTGGTGTTGTTATATTGTTATTTTGTGTATCGGAAAATATAGAACGTACAGCCATCGTTCAATGTTACGTCATACATTGTCGAGCTCGCTCAATCACTTCCCATCATTTTTTTTTGCAAAAATGCCTCAAAGATTTCAAACAAGAGTTCATTGCTAAGTTTATAAATTATTTTTCTCGAGAAAGAGACGCTGGTAGAACACTCTTGCCCATGGAGGTCGTATATAAAATAAGTACAATGCAAAGGTGTAATATTCCTATGTAAAAGACAAATTGATACTGATGCTTTAGAAATAATAATTTCAACAGTCCAAAGGATTGGAATTAAAAGGATCGTAACTAGTGATGGGAAAAACCGATTAATTTCAATAATCGAGTACTCGATTATTGAATCGAGCGAAACATCGCTCGTATTTAAAAATACGGTTTTTCGCCCGTCGCTTGTTGTACTCGTAACGCCAAGCAGTAAGTTGCGTGCGCAGAGCACATATTCTTTCGGTCATGAATGCCAAGTAGCAAGTGAAGACCGATTCGTTTGATCGCTTGCTTGATTTAATTTATTTCAAGGCATTGTCGATGTAGGTCGTAAAATGTTATCACTCAGATACGCAACGGATAACGTCATATAAATTTGCTACCAATGTATGTAGAAAATTCGCTTGGCTTTTTATTAAGTATGTCATATTAAAATCGGATTTCAATTTATTTCATTCTAGGATCGTTTGCGTTCGTCGCTCATAACTCGTCCCTTGCATCGGACGTTCATAATCGAGCGATGTCGGTTATTTCAATAATCGAGTACTCGAGCGAATTTTCGCTCGAGTTATCCCATCACTAATAGTAACTAATGAAGAGTTGCATGCCGCCGAATTTGTGGTAGAAACTGGGGATTAAACCCCAAAAATATGTACTGGCTATACGTGACGGCCATCAGACCTATTATCACGTATGGTGCAGTTGCCTGGTGGCAGAAAGCCAACCAAACAACGGCAAAGAATAAATTGTCGAAACTACAACGACAAGCATGCTTAGCGGTGACTGGTGCCTTCCATTCCACGCCGTCAAAAGCTATGGAAACCCTACTCGACCTACATCCTCTTCAAATTCTTTTGGAAAGAGAGGCGAGATGGGCTACATATAGGTTTCTAAATATAGCACGAGGAAGCCAAGGAACAATTATGTTCATACAAAACTGGCTAGTAGAAGAACTACAGTCGGATGAGATTCTGGGAATGATCTCGGATCTTACACCACCAGTCCAACTCCTGACGCGCACCTACAACGTCCTGTTTCCGAATAGGGACGAGTGGGATAAGCCGGGAAACGGTTTACTACATGCGGAAATGTGTTGGTACACGGACGGATCCAAAAACGAAAAAGGATCTGGAGCAGGAATTTACTAGACCAACTACAGTCTTGGAAAACACACCACGATCTTCCAAGCTGAGCTATATGCTATTGAAACCTGTTTGCAACTGCTGGTAGAACAGCAATACACCGGGAAAACAATATGCATATTTTCGGATAGTCAAGCCGCGCTGAAAGCACTTGAGGCAACGAAAAGCACGTCTATGACGATTCTTCAATGTAAGAAACTACTCAATATACTGGGAGATAGGAACAAAGTGTCGCTAATATGGATACCGGGACATGTCGGCCTAGAGGGAAATGAACGTGCTGATTCGAGAACCGACACGCGTTCCTTAAAATCTCGCAAGAGACAGGCTCTGTGAATGGGTTAGGAGTGCGACGTTCCGGGACTGGAATGACAGTCCCGGAATGGAACATGCCAAGAAAATCCTAGCAGGGCCATCCAAACATAGAACAGGAGAACTCCTAAAGGCCGGTAGGAATGGAACGCGTGTGCTCACTGCAGTGTACACGGGCCACTGCCGGCTGAGATCTCACCTACAGAGGACAGGACTGGTGGAAGACGCCGAATGCCGACTCTGTATGGAAGATGACGAAAGAATGAAGCACGTTATGTGTACCTGCCCCGCTGGGAGCAGGACCAGGTTTGAGATGTTTGGCAAACCCATGCTAGACCTATCAGACCTAGGAGACATATCGCCCTCAGACATAACGGCCTATATTAGGAGGCTGGGTCTTGAGGGTGAACTTTGACGCTCTTGTAAATTAGAGCGTGTAGAAACTGAGCCACAATAGGCCCTCGCGGCCTCAGTGGAGGGTCCCCCCATGGGACCCACTCTTAGTCAATACAATACAATGAAGAGTTCAAGTAAAAATGAATAAAAGTCGAAAAAAACGAAACTCGCTCAATCAATCATATGACTGTACGTTTCTATATAGGAACGTACTTAAAATTTTCTAAACAATATGAAATGATCTCAGACAAACCCTAAAACCCATTTTGACAAATAATGATGACGTAACGGTGAACGATGGTTGAACATTCTATTTTTTTAAATGATTCCCATTGATTTACTGATAACTTACGTAGGCCCCTCTGTACGCTAACATTTTTGCAGGTGATTTTGGTGGCATCAAATTGGTCAGCGCCACAAGTCTGACACAGGTCCGGGTCACATTCCCTGACGGCCAGATAACAGGGACACTGTTTAGTGTTGCACTGGGCCTTGCATCGGCACCCGGGAAACCTATTCTGACCTGGAAAATTCTTTGGGTTATTTAACATACCAATAAAAAAAGGAATTAATATACAATCAGAACTACACTGGCAGAACTTCTCACAGAAATTCTGTGCTCCGATGCAGGGGCAATTGTTATCGCAGTTCTGACCGGGATGGTCGCAGGGGGTGAAGTTGTACACGTGGTTGCTGCTGGAGTCTTTCTTCAGTTGAATTTTGCGGCAATGCATCGACCACAAACGGTGCTTCTTCTTCTTCTTGCGAGGTGGCGTGTAATCTCGCATGGCTTCTTCGGCCGGAATGTCGGCAGCTTCCTTCTGTGCGAAATCGTATATCTGGAGTAAAAGACATACTGAGTGACAACAAAATAGTCGCTATACTATACAGGGTGGTTCGAATTGTAGATAAAAATAAGTAAAAAAGTTTGTATAAATGTATGTCTTAAAATACGATTTTTTCCACATAATTTCTGAACTAACGTCGATATGTAGATGAAAATTATTTGTTTTGGTGTTTTTGACACGAGAAATTCGGTTTCGATATGAGTGACTCCTGCTTGTAGGGGGCGCCACCAATACTTTTTTTTAACAAAATAGCTAGTGACATCTCTCGATCACGTACAAAACGACCCATTTACTAAGAGAAGATTTTTATAAGTGGATGATAGTTGATGATGAAGAAGAACATCTTGTATTTATTACATTTTTTGTCTGTTGTAAAAAAAAACGCCTTCGCGCATACTCTTTCAGGAAAAACATTATTTTTCCAAAGCTCACTTGTTTTAGACTGAAAATGTTTTTAGTCACATAAGGCGCATAAAATCTATTATCCTTTAATAATAAAGCTGGCGAAAATATGGCATTTTATGTTAGTATCATAAATTATATTTGACAGTAAGCTTCAAAAAAAACTTAAAAAAATTAATAGATTTTAAATTAATTAATGTTCGGGTTTATTTTTGATTGATGCCCTCTAACGGGCAAACGAAGCACTTTTGTATAAAGGTAAATTATGTGCAATTAACTCATTTTGATTCAAAAAATACGTAATTGTATTATGTCCAAGGAACATTAGAACTTCCTGTACATTCTGAAGGTCTGCTTTGAAAAAAATAATTCTCCAAAAATTTTTTTCTCAAAAACTATGCGATATGGCGTTTTTTTATGAGAGACAAAAAATGTAGTAACTACTAGAGGGACTATTTTCCGGAAAGAAAATCTGTCGTAGGTGGAGTTGGAAAATATTTATACTAAAATTTATGTAGAGGTTACCGTGCTTTTTCTTGATTTTTGTGAAAGTCAAATGTTAAAGCAAATAGCAAAACATAGACATCCAAAATCTCATTCAAATAGGAATAACGATTCTTAAAATATCTGAAAAAAAGGTGATTTTTTTTTAAGTTTGATGCCTTCTAGCGGACAAACGAAGCACTTTTGTATAGAGGTAAATTATGTCCAATGAACTTATTTTGATTTCATACAGATGTAGTACTTCTATGTCCACGGAATATTGAGACACCCTTTATTGTAGTTTTTAGTAGCTTATTATAATAGTTAAGTGTATGTATTATCTTGTATTATGTTCCTGGTATTATATTTCTGTAGATTGTGAATAAAAAGTTTGATCTTAAATTATTGTGAAATTTATGATCAATAGACATGTTCACTAATTTCTAATTTCAATGAATTTCGATAGCTACATATGAGTAAAAAAACATGGCACTCAAAATTTTTCTTAAAAATTATAATTTTCTCACATAAACGTAAAACAAAATTGAGAAATGCAGCAAGGCTAGAAAACGTACTCGGCTCGAGGCTACCTGTTTTTGACGTCACTGCTTTGATCGATCGATGGCGTCCGTACGATCGTGCAATTGCCGCATTGTTTTTGCAGACGTTCGCGAAGGTGTATTGTTTATTTTCATTGTTTTGGTGTTTTGAAGAAGTAAAATGAGTTCAAATAAGTGGTGTTTTGTCCCTACGTGTATTAATACTTCAAAAGATAATCTACAGAAGTTTAAGTCGTTACTTTGCGCCCCTTGCTTTTAATTCTTATTTTCTACTTTTAAGTGCATTGTTTAGCTTGTTTTTAAAAAGTTTTTTTTATCAATTTTTTCACTTGTAAATTTTTCGCTTAATATGGGTCCTATAGGGTGTCCAATTTAAAATGAGGTACATGGGGATCTTGGAAACCGTTGAAGATACAAAGTCGGTTAAATGGAAGCAAAATTGCGTATTTGTGTGCCCAAAAATAATCTACGTCTATTTTATTTTAAATCCATACCGTTACGTCGATACAAGGTGAAAAAGAAAAAATGAACATTTTCGAAAAACCACCATATTTTCTTTATTATTGGAGCTAAGGTAATCCAAATTTCAATATATGGGCAAGGCAACATGGCAATTTTAAAAATTATATCAAAAAAAACCTAGGCCTTCTATGTTGCGCACGGCCGAGGTCAGCTTTTATTTTTCTTATGAGAGCCATATTTAAATTTGGCATTTTAAAAATCCTTATTAAAAATGTTTTCTACCATGTATTTCAATATGGCGACCATAGGAAGAGCAAAAGTGCACTTCGGCCATGCGCAACGTAGTACGCATAGACTTTTTTGGACATCATTTTTAAAATTTCCATATTGCCTTACCCCTATGTTAAAATTTTGATGACCTTAGCTCCAATAATAAAGAAAATATGGTGGTGTTTAGAAAATGCACATTTTTCTTTTTATCCCTGTATTTACGTAACGGTATATGAATATTAAATAAAATAGACCTAGATTATTTTTGGACACACAAAAACGCAACTTTTCTTCTATTTAACCGATATTGTAACTTTAACGGTATTCAAGATCTCCATTATTCCCCATGTAGGTACCTCATTTTAAGTGGACACCCTGTATACGTGTGCGAATTTTCAGGTCAATACAATTAAAATTTAAGAGTTGGCTCCTTCTTCTTAATTCGGCCCTGTATCAGATCAACAATACGATAATTTTACATTGTCTTAGCTTCTATATACGCATGCAAATTTTGAGTTTAATATGATAATTAAAATTTCAAATTTGGCCCCCTCCTCCTAAATACGGCCTCTGACAGCTCAAAAACTCAATAATTTTGTATTGTTAAAAACCAAGTGTTGTTTGTTATAGCTTTCAAGTAAACCCGTCCTCCATCTCACTAAGTAGCTTTGTTTTCAAACTAGTAATAAACTCCAAATATTAATCACAAATTTAATATACAAACTACATCCGAGCACAACGCGATATATGTCGTACTCTAGCTTGTTCTGTTAGAAATTCCACAGTGTGCAGACAGCACCGTTTACTGGCGCGGAAATACCGATCGAAGCAGTGACGTAGGTGAGCGTTTAGCGGATTCAAACGATTACCATAATTTCGCACGGATTTTTGAGGCATAAGCCTTTTACGGAATGTTATGAAACTTTGCATACTGAGTTTTAATGTCATAATGAACGATTTTATGAGAAGTAGGCTCGTTTTAATTTTTTTGTGAACATTTCTATTGATATTCCAGTTAAATATAACATCGCAAAATATTAATATAGTGCGCACAAAAAAAAAATAATTGTATATCATTATATATTCTTGAACTTCTATAAGTTAACTTATTTCTCTAAACTGCTTAGCACTGCCAATCAATATAAAATAATAAACATATTTCTATAATGAAGAGGGCAACGGCCTAGCTACGTTGAAACACCGGTTCCCATTAGAACACCGAAGTTAAGCGACGTAAGGCGATACTGGTGGATGGACGGGTGACCGGTTCGAAACTCTGTATCGTGCTGTTGTCCAAGGGAAAAGTGTAAAATCAATTGATACACACTGCTCATTCACGCCGGTTCGAGGCCGGATGAGATCGGATATCTAGTGAGTAAGAGTTAATTTAGACACTCCCTAAATCGGTAGGCCACTGACCATGATATGGCCGAGGACCGCGGTTCGGATTCCGCGGAAAGAGCAGCAGTCTAAACTTTACGTTGCATTCATCGATCTAACAAAAGCCTTCGACTCTGTGAACAGAGATGCACTTTGGGTAATTATAAAAAAGTTCGGAGTACCCATCAAATTTCTTACAGTGTGTAAAAGCCTCCATAACAACAACAAATCAAGAGTGTCATATCATGGATCACTGAGCGATCCCTTCCTAACAAACACAGGCGTTAGGCAAGGATGTGTCTTGGCGCCTCTCCTATTCAATATATACATGGCAGCGCTCTCAATTATAGTGGACAGCAAACTGCAGGAGAGAGGTTTGGGCATTAGATTCAGATGCGACGGCGGTCTGTTCAACATAAAAAGACTCAGGGCAAAAACACGTACAAAATTCATCACAGAACTTCAATACGCTGATGACTGTGCTCTAGTTGCAAATACGTTACAGCAGTTGCAAGAAATGTTGAACACATATACATGGGCATACGAGGCCTCGGGACTTAAGCTGAACATCGATAAAACTAAAATCATGTGCACTCCCCCGGAAGATCACAACAATGCTATATAAATCGGAGATGAGCTGTTGGAATATGTAGCGGAATTCAATTACCTCGGCAGTTTGATTTCGGAAAAGGCCAATATCGACTCTAAAATTCAGCACAGGATTAGCAGCGCCTCAAGAGCATTCTGGAAATTAAAAGACAGGGTTTTCTACAATCATGACTTGAGCACAAAAACGAAACTTGCGGTGCACGAACGATAATAATTCCCACCATGTTATATGGAAGCGAAACCTGGGGGTGCCGTACCGCCGACACATGAACGCATTAAACAAGTTGCAACAGAGACATCTTAGACAACTCTTAAGAATAAAATGGTTCCATCATGTCTCAAACGTATCGGTCATTGAAAAAGCTAACTGCGAGAGTATTGAAGTCATGATTACAAAGTCCCGCTTAAGATGGGCTGGTCACGTATGCAGAATGCAAGAAACCGCATACAAAATCTCGGGTTTACGGTGCGCTTGTAGACGGTAAGAGGAGGCCGGGTGGACAACTCAAAAGGTACAAGGACATTTTCCACGAAAACTTACAGGCGCGTAAACAAAGTAGGCCCCGTCCAGATTAGCCCTGGCAGCAAAAAGGAGACGTTAACTGAAATCGGTACTTTACTTTCTATAATGAAGAACTAAAAATAAATAAGAAAAATCTTACCTGCTGACATGTCTTCGTCAACATTATTTGTGCAATGGCACAATAATTATTGACAAACACTTTATGCAATGCTCTAAATAAACTCTCGTCTGCACCAGTCCATTCATTATGATCATTGGACCCCATCAAACCTAGTAAGCTAAAGGACGTGGTGGTCGACACTGGATCTCCGTTCTCGCAGTCTGCATATTTAATTTCAATTTAAAACAATCTATATGTATTTTAATATGTCTTTCTCACCCTTATTGCTATCGTTGCTGTCTTCAGAACTAGCCTCGTTGCCCGAATCTAAACTAGTTTGTTTGCAAATTTTTCTGGGATTTAAGCTACTGGACCCGGAACTATTTCGCGTGTCGCTTCCCTCGCCTAACGATTTTCTTTTCTTGTCTCTCTCTTGTTCCTTTTCCTTTTCTGCCTTTTCGAAATCCTCTTCCTGCTTGGCTTTCGCCGCCATTTTCTCTTTTACAGCTTCCTTATTGGTATTTAAAAATATGATAAATGAAGGGACCAGGGGAAAAACTTGTTAAGCGCCAAATAGTAGGTCTATAAGGTCCCTACAAAATGTATAAACTCGGCAGGGCAATAAGTAGTAATAAGCATAGATAAATGAAACAAGTTTAGATTGGAAAGTGCCCAAAAGGACAATGTAAACACTATTTGGAGCTATTCTTGCAACGGTCGCGACCCAAAGCTTTTAAAAATTTCGGAGCGGTTTGGCATTTTCCGGAATTATATCGCCAAATATTGTTTATTCAAATTTATTATTATTTTCTTTTAATTTTATAAATAAAATACAGTGTGTTGTATACAAGAAACTTTATTTTATATAAGGACATGTATAAAATACCTATGAAACATTGGAAACTGACGTTATGCCACGTTCCACGATGGTTTTTGCAGTTCACAGCACAGCTTTTTAAGTTTTTAATGCCACTTTTTCACAACTATCACGGGTTTGAGTAAATAAAACTTAAATTAAACTCACAAGATAGCAATAATTACTTTGAAAATGGACGCCAGAGAATATGGACGCTTTAAACACTTTTCAGAATTTGTCCAATGAGAGCGGTTTAGATTTTAAGATTTTATAATTTTTTTAAGATTCTGACTTTGACTAGAGAAAATTATTTCTGTTTTTGTTTGCGGTTGTTCTGAGCAACCGCTATAAGATCGCGTACAACGGTCGCGACCCAAAACAATTTCGCGACCTAAAATTTTGACGGGCATTCCAATCTAATCTATGGTAATAAGTAGTAAAAATCTAGAATACACGGAGACAACCTGATAACCACCAGCCGTCCAGTGCTCTCCTATAAAATTAGTAAAATGGCGCTTATCATGTTTTCCCCTGGAGCCTTCAAATATAATTTTCTTCACTGTTTCAAATAAAACATCCTGTATTTTATATTACTAATCAACCTATTGTTAAGGACTTTCTATAGGCTTGGTGCATTTCAGTTGATTTCAACAAATTCCGACCGTAGCGCACTCTACGGCAGAAATCAGAAATTATCAATAAACAGTTCACGCCGCCGCCGCCGCCATGTCAATCGCATTAAAATTATATTGAAATCGGGGTTTTGTCGTAATATTTAAGTATTTTAGTTTTTTGCTAGTGCAGTTATTGAGACTATAAAACATTCAGGTACGAGATTTGTGTGCTGTAACGCTGTTTCGGGTAGTAAAAAATAAGTGAAAAAGAATTCGAACTAGGCGTCTTCTTGTGTTGTGACAATTTCAAATGTTAATAAAATTGGCCAACAAAATGTTAACACGTAAAGGAGAGCGTAATTAGGGTGTTGTTGGGTGCAATAACATTCAATAACTCAACTTTCCCGGATATTCGACTCTCCTGAAACAACATTTTATAGCTTCATAATTTCTTATACCGATTTGATCAATAATCAATAGCAAAAATGGATTCAAGCAGTTCGACGAAACAAGTGAGTAAACAAAGCGCTCGTTACTTAATCAAAAAAATAAATAGACATATACTATGAGAGGATGAAACATAATTTGTGTGTGTGTGTGCAATATTAATGGTATACTTTTTTAATCAACTAGTTATTAAATGTTTTATGAACATCTAAAATTATAACTATGTACCTTAAATGTCGTTATAGCCGAAATAGCTCCAATTATGCCCCACTAGCAAAACCGGTAATAAAACTATGCTCGCTACCGTATTTAAACTCATCTAAAAAAAATGTTTAACTGGAATAATAAATTATAATGCAAGTTAGACCTTCTGAAGATATCAAAATATTTACCTTTTTATTTTTTTTTTGTTTAGAATTTCCACAAATTAGTCTTTCTAACACTTTTAGAATAATTATATACCATTTTTTTCGTTTACTCGCCATTTAAACCCGTGTATTTGTATGTGTTCGCTATTTACGATATTCTCGGGCGGTGGCAGCACCGGCGGAGAATACACCAAGCCTATACCCAAAATTAACAATATTACATTTTCAATTTTTTGAAAATAAAACACGCACTTGACATTTTTGTCTTTCCTTTTTTAAATTGGAGATTATTTGAAGACGTCTTAATTTTATAATGAATTTTTACCAGGCAAATTAAGAAAGTTTTTATTGTGTAAGATAGACAATTACTGAGTAAATTTCAATTTTGGATATAGAATTATTTATCAAGATAAAAACCTAAACAAACTATGATTGGATCATCTTGTATAGTGAAAACAGGGTTAAAAAATATATTTTAATATTTAAACAAAACATATATTTTTATGGTTTAAACAGTTTTGATTATGATTGTCAAACACAATATTTTAACTTATGTTCAAGTTTAAAACTTCTTTAAAATACTTGTTTTATACCGGGTGTGTCTTAAAAGTGGCTTACCCCTTTTTAATTTTTTATTTTTTCCCTTAAAAAACAATATTTCGAATGTTAGTATATGACATAAATTAGAATTGATTGACGTATTCAATTGCTATTGGTCACTTCCTGTTTCATCGAAAATGACTAAAACTCTTGATTTTTAAATGACACCCTCGGTATTTTTTTTATAGAAAATGACACTCTGAATAGAATGACATATCATATATCAACTTTTGAGATTTTCGCTTAAAAAACGTATTTTAAATTTCAATCTAGAGTGCCATGACCGTATTAAAAACACTAATTTTTAATCAAGGAGCCTTGGAAAAATAGATATGATAGTTTAATGTTTTTGTCTTGTCTTAGCCAGTTAAAAGATATCCAAATTGTATTTTTAATCTTATCTCAATTTTTTCAAATGGAACAAGGGTGGCTCATTAACATATTTCTAAAAAAGCATTTTTTATTAATAATTTGGTACCACACACTTGGTATTTCGAGTCAAATTGTCATTATGAACCGCAATTTCAAATAAATCATATGTGAAAATGTCAAAAGTTGACATAAAAAAATAAATTAATAATAAAGTAAAAAAATAGTGAAGGTGTCATTTAAAAAATAAAAATTGTAGTCATTTCCGGTGAAACAAGAGGTGACCAAAAACAATTGAGTGCGTCAATCAATCCTAAGTTATGTCACATACTAACATACCAATTTTTTTTATCTAAAAAAATAAAAAGTTATAGGGGTGAGCTTTATTTTGCTGTCTTATATATAAACTCTGTTTTAAACTACATAGTAGTAGTGTAGATGGCATTCAAAATTAAGAAGTTATAATGATAATAATATGTAATATGATATTTATAACGATAATAAAATGTATAAAACTCATATAAAACATAACAACCCTGGTTCTTAACAGGGTTCTTATGTTTTATACAAGTTTATTATAAAATACCCTTTTGAGTAAACTCACCAACAGCATGTAACACTCAGCACCACAAGGTTCACTAAAAGGCTTTAAATCTGGACCACGTCGTTTTTGTAGATTTGGTCCTGGATGACATGCCTGCAACCCTGTTTGTAATAAAATTAAGAATAAATAAAGTCTTTTATTGCAAATTTAGTGCAATTAGCAGAATTTTATCTTAATTACATATTTAAAAAAAAATGCAACAGAATTTACCTTGTTGTCCTTAAAAGATGTGCAGACATTTAACACATATAAAATATGACAGTATAGCAAATTAATATTTAAAAATATCAGAATTGATATTGTTCAGTATTGTTATAAAAAATGTCTTAAGACTTATATTAGAGAAACTATATAGAAACTTACTGTGTAAAAAACAATCGTATTTAAAACACCTTCTACAAAACAGAGTATGAAAGGAGTGCATAGTCTGTTCCCTAGGAACTGATGCAGCATTTGGTCCATCTATATTTGGAGTACATTCAGGAGGAGCGTTTGGATCAGTTCTCTCAGTTAATTCAATATATCTAACAAAAAAAAATTGTGATACATTTAGAAATAGAAGCATACAGGGTGGGGCCTCTCATACGCCGCGGAGGCTCCAAGGAGAACGACAATTTGTATTGAAAAGAAATTTTGTATGCGTATGTAGGTTAATTCAGAGCACTTTTTAAAAATATAGACAGTTCTACAGGGTGTCCCCAAAAAAAGTTACATATCGAAGTGGTGCTTTTTGTAATGGAACACCCTATATATTAATTGATTTTCGGATTCTGGGAGAAAAATAAAGGTGAGTTTTATAAGAGAAGTATATGACTAAAATGTGAGGTTTTTGACATATTTAACATTTTCTAGAAATAAAGAACAATTTTTAAATTACAATAAAAGCTACCTAAATTGGAATTTACCCGGTATAGCCTAATATGTAGTTAAATTAACTATTGTACTTTAAATCAAATTAAAACTTGATCCAAAAAGTTATACAGGGTGAGACAAAATTAATATTGAACATGGGTCACCTTTAAAAGCATATTACTCTTTTATTTTAAATGGAACACCCAGTTTATTTTTCTGATATTCAATGGAGAATTAATGTCTCTTAAAAATACTATTAGGGTTGCCTACCCCTCAACAAAGATTTTTCTCGATATTTTCATTTACATTTCCAGTCCAATTTTAACAACTAGTTATCATTTTGTGTCAAAACAAAAAAAATCTCGAAATTTGGCGAAAATGCAAACTTATTCTACATCAGAGAGAATTGATATGATTCTATTAGTTGGTGAATGCAGTGTGCATTCACCAATTAGTAGAATACTTAAATACTCCTGATTTTATCTAGTCTGTTTCTTTATAAGGATATGTCAAAGACAGTGTTTAAAAAATCGACCAACTATTGTCAGCAACATGAGAGAAATTATTGTAGCTGCTTTTCGAGGTAAAACTCCACATATGCCTTTTAAAATGAAAAGATCCTTTTGAAAAGACAATCATTTTATGCAGTTAACAGGAAAGGAAGCATTTTGAGCATTTGATTTAATCTAGCTAATTTTTGTCACATTATTGTAGGTTTATATCTAGTTTTAATTATGTAATAATTAAAATATGTTTTAAACGTGTTTCTTTTTATTACCATTGAGTATTTTACTCTATAATTTTTAATTTTTGTTAAATTAACAAAAGGTATAACACACAGCCACCTAGATTTTTTCAAATAATAAAGATATGTATACTGATGCAAAATCATAAAAATTAAAATATCTAGAAAAATCTTTGTCTGAGGGGTAGACAACCTTAACAATATGTTGAAGATATATTAATTCCCCATTGAACACGGGAGAAATATACTGGGTGTTCCATTTAAAATAAATGAGTAAGTTGCTTTTAAAAGTGATTAATGTTCCATTTTAATTTTGTCTCACCCTGTATAACTTTACGGGTCAAATTTCAATTTGATTTAACATACAATGGTTACTGTAATTAAATATCAGGCTATACAAGGTAAACTAAAATTTAGGTAGCCATTATCGAAATTTAAAATTTACTCTTCATTTTCACAAAATATGAAATATGTCAAAATCCTTAGATTTTAGGTATATGCTTCTTTAATAAAACTCACCTTTATTTTTTTCCTAGAATCCGAAAATCAATTAATATACGGGGTATTCCATTAGAAAAAACAAAACTTTGATGTGTAACTTTTTTTGAGGACACCCTGTATAATTCTATATATTTTTATAAAATGCTTTCAGTTAACCTACATAGCGGCGCCACCCTGTATTGTTATGTATGACTAACTTATCTCTAAGCTCCTCCGGACCACCTTTATCTGGAAATTGTGCTGAAATGGTTTGAAAAATCACAAAGGATGGAAATTCCAATTCCTCTTTATTATCCCAATCCGATTCCTTCTTTTCTGTATCTAAAATACAATAAAATCATTATTTTATATAAAACATATTTGCTCACTTGGTAAAACACACCGTCTTTCTTCTTATCTGGTTTTTTGTCTTCTATTTTATCAGATTTATCTTGAAACTGCATTAAAGCGTGTACTAATTCCACAAAGAGTTCATCATCAATAAAGCCTGATTCTTGATCGCCGTGTACTTTTCCATCATAGTTTTTAATCAGTTCTTCAATAAATGTTCCTAAAATAAAACACACTTTGCATTAAAATGAATAAAGCTTTTTAGAAAAATAGTATTTTTTCTATAGTATTAATAATGCACCACATTATACATACAGACAAGGCTGTATTCCGTTGCAAAACCAGGCGAAACAGACCAGTAAATTACGGTAAAGAGCGGTTCCTGAAAAACATCGGTTTGATATGGAACGGTTTGGTAAAATACTGGAAACGTCAAATGTTGACGTTTTCTAAATTTCAATACCTCTATTATAAAATTTATCTTTTATGCATTTTTAATGTACCTATTCTCTGCTTTTACGTTTGCTTCTTCTTTTCAATGGGGTTTAATATTGAAAAGCACTTTTTTAATAAACTGTTAAACTCGTTAGACAGCTTAAGTAGAAGATTTGTAGGTCTAATATTAAAACAGATCAATAATAAATAAACAAATTTAAACAATATTTATATTTTTATAGCTTACAAAACATTCACGATTACTTGTCTTGTTTTTCATGTTTTCTTTAAATGTTCCTGACTTTAAGAAACAATGGCTGCATGATAAAAAAAAATGGTCCTAAAAATTCATTCTATTTATTTAATGAAATTTCTTTACCTCTACTGCCTACCTCCATTGCTTTTGGATAAAAATATTATTACAAATTTTAGAAATTAAATGAGAATTTCGCTTGAACTTCCAATATTTGCTTGCTTTCTGTCACATAAATGACATTGATTGACAAACAAAACCCTTTACAAAACCAGAAAAACCAGCCTTCTCGCGCTGCACAGTGGTTCCCCTTAATTAGCTGCACGCTCATAACTGTTATATATCAAGATATAGCTTGACTTTAATAGAAATTGATAACAAATGGTAAATAAATGTATATAAAAAACTTAATGTAATACCACAGATTAGGTATCCTATAAGTATACAGATAAAAATCTTGTCCCTAATTCGTGGTACGAAAATTGTTTTTTATGACGATGTGCAAACGAGTCAAATTTCCTGTGCGCAAAAATAAACTCGCGTAAAATAACAATAAACAGCGTAATAGAGAGATATCGCTAAACCGAATAGCGTGCATGGACGTTATAAGGCCATGTGTTATTTCCTATACGTGAGGTGGTATTAACTCTCTTCATTTATAGTTATCAAATTTCAAAGAATTCTGATCGCGTTGCGTCCGCTATTTAAACTTAACCTAACTTTGAATTTAAAACTTTGAAATTGTTTTGTTTACTAGGTATTTTAAAACTAAAGGGCTAAAGTGCTTATTTCCAGTGCTTTATTGTTCAACGTCTGCCAATGGGTTTAGGGCAACAAGCAACAAATTTTCTTAGAAGGGCTAAGTCGTCATCTGCTGTAAACCTAAGACTCTTTATAGGTTCTTTAGTATTGGAAGAGGTGGAATCCATATTTTGGGCCATATTTATTTAATTAAAACTAATCCCAGCTAATTAAATATCAAATTACCTAATAAAACTAATGCAATAATTCAAAACAATTCAAACATAACCTAAAATAAAAGATCTCGCCGGCCGGGTCCGGTTGTCAAATACCCGCACATGCCCATTTAAGCAATTTTTAAACGTTATCAGAGGTTATTTAGAAAGAGCGCTTGGTGTAATTGATCCGCAAATTACGTCAGGCGGTAACGTTATTAGCGGGTGTTGCGTTGACTCGCGCATATCGTAACCATGATATGGTACGCGTAAATACTGGATGACGCTATTCGGTTTTCCGATATCTCTCTAATAACTGTGCCGGTCAGGCGCTGTGCACAATTTTAGAGGCCATAAAGTGGGCGTGCTATGTGCGCAAACTAATCACCTAACTATTACCCGATTCCGAAAATTGGAACCACGAAAAACAATAAAGAAAAAACAAAGATTATAATCTGTATAATCTGTGGTAATATGTATTGAAAAAATTGGGCCCAGTTCGTGTGATGTGCATTTTAAGTTCTAACTATTCGGAAATGTATACAGATTATGTTTGCACATACACAGGGTGGTCCGAACTGTATTCCGGAAACTTCGGCAGCATGTTCTGCATATAAAAATAAGTAAAAAAGTTTGTATAAATGTATGTCCTAAAATGCGTAGTTTCGGAGATACAGGGTGTAGAAATAATTTCCGAAGTAACGTCAATATTTGGGTGAAAATTAGTATCTGCGAGTTTTTTGATATGAGAAATTTGATTTTGATGTCAATATGACTCCTATTTGTAGGGGGCGCCAACTATATGTGTCTTAACTGTTTTGAGGAGTAATAACTTTTCGTCCGTACCTGTATAAAACTACTGAGTAAAAAAATATACATTTACGAAGTTTTTGACGTAAAACAGAGAGAGTAATAGTTCTCGAGATATTTGGAATCAAAATTATCAATTCCTGTGATCATTGACATAAATTATTAAACATGTTGACTAAATAGTTATTCGACTGAAATCATAAATTTGAAATGTTTTTGTTCAAAAGTTCAACAGAAACTGTTTTCGCAGAAAAAATTATGATTTAATTTAAAAAGAAAAAAATTTCCCAAATTTATTATTTCAGTCAAATAACTATCTACTCAAAGTGTTTAATTTTTTGTCAATAATGACATGTATTGACTATTTTCATTCGAAATATCTTGAGAACGGTTCCACGTAGCGATTTTTACCAAGAGACATTTTTTACGTAAAAAGTCACGAAAATGTATATTTTTTTAACTCAGTAGCTATATACAAGTACGGACGAAAAGTTATTACTCTTCAAAACAGCTAAAACACATGTACGTGGCGCCCCCTACAAATAGGAGTCATATTGACATCAAAATCAAATTTCTCATGTAAAAAACTCTCAGACACCAATTTTCATCCTTAACGTTACTTCAGAAATTATTTGGAAAAAATCGAAATAAAATTGAAATTTCTACACCCTGTATCTCTCAAACTAAGCATTTTAGGACATACATTTATACGAACTTTTTTACTTATTTTTATCTGCAAAATATGCTGCCGAAGTTTCCAGAATACAGTTCGAACCACCCTGTATATGTACATGTTTTTTCATATTGAAGAGGTCAAATTTATTTTAAACGTGGAAAAAGAGACAGTTGTTTCATTTTATAAATACAATTTTATTGTCAATTGATATACAGTGTGTCCACGAAATAAGTTGACACGAAGAGGAAAAAATAAGTTATTTTATTTTAAGGCAAAAACTCAATCTTTAACCACCCGGTATAAGATCCGGCGGCAATTCGCGGCAGCCAGTGGCAATTAATTTATATGCAATATACTTTAAGCAACAAGTATTTTCATCCGTTTAAGAGAATTTGAAAGGGAAAGCAGTTAAAAGTCTTAAAGAGTGACAAGCAAAAATGTAAAAATACTATTTTGTTACCTTCAAATAAATTGCCATAAACTAATATTACTTAGTTTTAATTAAGTGCAAAAAAGAAAAAGCAGTTCTTTTTACCTTCTTTTCGAACGTCCATTACAGAAAAGGCAACAGTTTTTATCAATTTTAATAAAATAAGTAATTAATTGGCGTTATCTGAAAACTGTTTATGTCAGCTTGATACCACTAGCAAAAATGTGACATTTCTAATTAAAAAAAGCGCTACACTAGGCTTAGTTGTTTTTGTTATTTATTATGTATCGTTTACAGGGGAATATAAGAAAAGTATTAGCAACAGTTTCATGCAAAAATTTTAAGATTAATATTTCTAAGTAATGACCTATCTGGGAACCACTGTGCGCTGGTTAGTTTGGTGACAGTTATAACCGAATTTTTCAGGAACCGTGTTCCGTAATAAGAAAACTTTCAGAAAACCGATTGAAATGGAACATAAAACAATAACCAAGGTAAGCAACGGAATACACCCTTAGTAAGCAACAAAGTGACAATACAGGAAAACTTAGTCCCATCTTTGTCGCCAATATTAAAAATTGGAGGAATATTATTATGCTACTATTATATTAATTTATCTATCTGTTTTGCTGTTTTAATTTGCAAATTGCAGTATGTAATCTTGATAACCAACATAAATATGCTCATAAAGAAAGATAACATGTTCTGAATAACTTTTTTTCTCAATTGCTTCATTTTTTTTGTTCTAAACATTCTCATTTAATAACAAGAAAAATTGAGAAACCTTCTTTTTGCAAAAAAATTTTCAACCTTCTTTGTGCAAATTATAAATTGTCAACTTTTATTTTCAGGGATTGTTCTCCAAAAATAAATTACTAAATATTTTCTAACACTAAGTATATATACCATCTTGATCCAAAATTTCATCTCCCATATAAGGAATATTATGAAGTACTGTTTCATCTTCAACCATAAAATTTTGCTGGATAGGTGCCCACGTATACATGGTAGGTATTGGTGTAACAGCATTAATTATTTTTATTGCTGTTACTTGAATTTCTCCTATAAACAGACCGATTTTAATATAAATCCTTAAAAAAATAACTTATTATATTCTACATTATTACCCTCATTTCCAATTACTTCAGCCTTCTTCATGCAAGTTGCATGGGCAGGTAGATCGGGACTTGGAACCCAAAACGCTCTACTTTCAGACCACCTATAAATATTTCTGTTTTTTATCGGGAAAAGTTAAAAATAGAAAGAAATACCTTTTCTGTTCAGAAATTAAGGTTTCAGACATTTTATCCCTGTTCTTATTCCATGCTACTTTTACATCGTCGGCTCTTTTATATCTTTTTTGTTGTCTTAAACGCAAATATTCTTGTTTTACACGTTTCTTCCAATCTAGCAAGTTCTTATTGTTTTTCGACATGTTTGCTTCTTAATTCAAACAATTTTAAAGACATATATTTATTAAACACAAGATTTATAAAATTGATTTTCAAAACTAGAAATAACACACTGGTTATAGGACAACATAAAGTATCAGAAAGTATTAAAAAACAATGCAAATCCAAACTTACTGGGTGGAAAACACGACAAATCACTTTCGCATTCGTATTTTGCAATGTATTTTGTATCACATAATTTGTATTTTATGATTACAGAACACACATTATTTATTTCTTGGAATCATCTTGGAATCAAAAATATGATCAAAAATCAAAGAAAGCTTTTGGCTTGGATCCTTGGATGCCTTGGATCATTTCAATTTAGTTCTACGGCCACAGCCGCAACAGCTCCAGGACCAGAGAAGAACAGTTCTTCTCTGCCAGGACTATCCGGCCGGGTGATAGAATATCTATCCTTTTCTTCCTTAGTCTTCTTATTCAAAGGTTGCTGCAACCAACCTTTTGGTAACTTGATAGCGCTATTACTAGGCAGGATAGTCCTAGTAGCTTAGGCTTTTTTTATTAAAAAAAAAGCAAATTACCACAAATTTAAAAGAAGCTGGTGTTTGTATTTCTCTGGTTTGTATCTTTCGGCCGGATAGTCCTGACAACTGAGACCAATACTACTCTATTCATTTGTGCAACTAACCTAGTTTTGCGATGACAAGTAAATTGCTTTTTATTTTTTGATTACCGAGCCTTGTACCGAGCATTGTTTATAGTATTTGTTTTATATTGTTGCTATGATTGTTGCCCATAGTTTACAGACATTTACAGTATTCTAAATTTGGTTCAGTTACTTCAGATGGTTACTTTGTACTAAATGGGTGAATTTCTTCGCCTAAAGCCTAAAATATTTATAAATAGATAAGACAAACTGACAAAAATCGATTACTAGCGATGGTAACTTTTTTATTTATTTTTATTATGTATAATGCAATTATCTTTATGTATTGGGCTTTTTAGGGCAAGCACAAGAAGAAAAGTTCAAAATCACATAAGAAAGACAAAAAACACAAAAGGAAATGCGATACATCTTCTTCAGACGAATGGGTAGAAGCAGAACTAGTTAACAATGTAAAAAACTGTAAAGCAAAGAAGAAATCTTCCAAGAAAAAGAAAAGATATCATAGTTCAAGTGAATCTTCTGTTGAATCTGATTATAAAAAAAGTAGAAATGATAGTAGCACCAGTAGTGATGAAGAGTACAATCAAGGAAGAACGAGTGAAAAAAAAGTAAAACAACAAAATAATGATACAGATACAAATGAAAAATCAGTGGTAAGAGATGAGTGGATGAGTTTATCAACCACTTTCTCTAGTCTTTCTAATGAAGATCGTAGAAATAAAAGAGAACAAGACAAGAAGCTTCAAAAAAAATTAGAGCAATATGACCCAAGAAGTTGCTCAAGAGAATTAAATCCATATTGGAAAGATGGAGGAGATGGCCTTCCAAAATTTTTAATGCCTAAAGACAGTGTTTCAGATGATGAAAGAAGTTATAAAACCAAAGTACATAAACAACATAAATCTAGTTGGAGAAAAGAAACAAATCAAACAGTTCCTGTTGCCAGTACATCTACTGACAACAAAAGCTATAATGAACCAAGAAAAGAGGATACTGGCAAATCTGTTGAAAATAAAGCATCCTATAATTCAGAAACTGAAGATTTAAATGTACTTGCTGGAAAAATTCTGAAAGCTGAAATAATGGGTAATGAAACCTTAGTTGAAGAACTTAAAAAACGACTTGAAATAGCTAGAAAGTCCTCCAAAGAAGCACTGTCAAGTAGGGAAGAAGTATTACTCACTCAAACAGATAGCCAGGGCAGAACTAAACCTGTAATAATGCTTAATGATGGAGCAAGTGGTTCAGGCAAAAAACAACGAAAAAAAGCAGTTGATACTCATCAGGATAAACAAAGGAGTAGATACTTCCCCGACGATGACAAATATTCTTTACAACAAATGTTTGAAAATGAGAAATTCAACAATGCTGATGAGCAGGATAAGGAGTTCCTGAAAGTTGCATCAAAAATTAATAAAAACGATGATATGGATGATTTCTTTACTGATAATGTTAGGCGCAAAAAGTCTGATTCTACATTAGATGAAAATAACAGAAACAAAGCTATTATTGAACATAAGAGAGTATCAGATAGTTTAGATAATTGTTCTAGGTGTATCCAGAGTAAAAACATGCCAAAAAATTTGATAATATCAATGGGTGAGTATGTCTATTTGGGATTACCTGAACATGAACCTTTAACTGATGGCCACTGCTTAATAGTACCTATTAGACATGTGTGTTCAATAACTCATTTAGATGAAAATGAGTGGAGTGAAATTTTAGATTTTAGGAAAGCACTAGTAAGACTATTCTGCTCTAAAGACCAAGATGTAATCTTCTTTGAATCTGCTCTTGGATTTCATAAATATCCTCACACATTGTTAGAATGTATACCTTTACCGAAAGAAGAGGGTGATATGGCGCCAATTTATTTTAAAAAGGCTATTGATGAATCTGAAATGGAGTGGGCCCAAAACAAAAAATTAGTTTCATTAAAAGGAAGAAATGTCAGAAAGGCAGTACCAAAAGGATTACCCTATTTTTCAGTCAGTTTCGGTATGGAGGAGGGATATGCCCACGTTGTTGAAGATGAACAGTTGTTTCCAAGAAATTTTGCACAAGAAATTATTGGAGGAATGTTGGATTTACATCACAGTAAGTGGAGAAAACCAATAAAACAGTCATTTAGTGATCAAAGCAAAAGGGTGTTGTCATTTACAAAAGAATGGAAATCTTTTGACTGTACAATTAAAGAATAAATATATTTAAAACTATTATATTATATAATTATATATAATCTTATAAATCTAATAACTCCTCTTCATCACCACCTATTGCATTCCAAAAAGCAGTAACCATTTGCTCAGCATACTGCTTTCTCTGGTTCATTGGAACTGACTGTAAACTATCTTTCATCATATGCAGCTTAGAGAATAATTCAGTAAAATCATCTTCACTTATAAGTTCATCTACAATTGAGTATATAAAATTGGTTACCTACTCGAAAACAAAATGTTACCTGGCAAAGAACTCGCTGTCAACCTACTTGATTCTTGTTTGGTGCTTTCAAGTTTGTTTGTTCCAACGTTTCTTGTATTTTTCATTATTAAGTTGGGCCATGTATGTGTCTAAACACAAAATATCATATATACTTAGGTATAGTAAATATTTTTAAAATTTACCTGCAATGCTTCTATGACTCTCTGTACTCCAAATTTTTCTGGAATAATGTCTCCTGAATTTTGTGGATCTGAAGGATACAGTTCTATAAACTCATAACCCTTTTGTAAGCACCATGATATAGCATCAGCTTTAGTAATTTTTGTTTCATTGTTACAATAGTTAGATATTAATAGTTTAATCTTAAAAATTAATAGCTTTATTAAACATATACATGTTCTCAATTTTTACCTCTGGTCCACATTCATTTTGTAAACTTTCAAACTTCTTTAAATCTTCTAAACCTGAAGATTTATTAGTATCTAAATGAATTATTAATGCTTCAACATTATTATTAAATTCTTCATCTCTCTCATAACAATCATTCAAACCAATTATGTTCACTGTTGCAGCGTAATACTTTGTATCTATAATTTAAAAATTGATTGCGATATATTTTAAATCATATTTTTAATCATAAAAGTAGGTATTTACCTAATTTCCAAGGTTGAATAACAATACCATTTGAATGTTCTTCTGGGTTCTCTTTAGTAATTAAACGTATTATAGATTTGGGTTTTGTGCTACTACTACTTACTATGACAATACTTGGTAATTTATCCATTTTCAAGAAACAGACAAATGAAAATCCTAAATCAATTATTTATACATCTTAAAAATTGAAAGATAATCACAAATCACAATCTAAGATGGTTAAGTTTATTAATTCTTCCCCTTTTTAATTAACTCTGAGATGTAGGCTACTATAACTATCCGGCCTGTTAATAGAGTTACAGCATTTAAAGCAAGAAGTGGTTATTCCCTAGAAAAAAAAAACTTTGAACTTAAAAAGAAGAAGAATCAACTATTTTTTTTTTCCTTCAGTTTAACGGCCTTTAGCTGCCTGGACTATACGGCCCGAACTATTTTAATCTTTATTTTAATATAATTTTAATAATAAAATAATAATTAATAATCTGTGGTCATATGCATTTTGTTTATATGTCATTTGTCATTTTATTGTAATTGTCTTCTTTATAATTGTAAATATTTTTGAAAGTGGTAAAAGCAGAGATATGGAAGTGGGAGAATGAGCTTCGACGAATGCGCATCCAAATTTTTGTCGAAGGCAAGATGGCAGACATCTTCCAGGTCTCGCTGTCACTTCCCCTCTTTAATTGACATCTGTTTGTTTTGTTTTTTTTTTTCGTTCGTGTTGTTATCTAGTTAAAATTTATTATTATATCAATCAGAGTCTCAATTATTCTAAACACTAATTCAAACAGGCTTATTGTATATTGTCATAGTCATTCTAAGAAAGCTAATACGCCGGGAAAAATGATTAGTTTTCATGTGTAAGTTTATACAACATAATCGTGTTTACAGATGATCCAAAACTGTTTATTTTTAGTTTTCCTAAAGGCGATTTGTAAAAATCGTGATTGTAATTGGGAATGGTCAAAAATAAGTGTATGATGTGGCCATTTAAAGAGGATGTTTTTATTACGTGTGGAGGAAGAAGATACTTGGAATCAATGTTCGTGCTTCTGTAAAACAGTGCACTCTTATAGTGTCCATGAAAGCACAAGTTCAAGTGTACCAGAAATATGTCAAATAAGATTGGTCCTTACTTGACAAGAAGATTATTTGGAGGAAAAAACATAAGATAGGGTATTTTAATTGAACAGCGAAAATTTAACATTTTTATTGTAAAGTTTGTTGTAGGTAGTTGTAGTTTTGTGCTAAATATTTCTAACATTAGCAGCAGCAGTGTTCAGAGTGTCAAGAGGAGGAGAATTCAGTTAATTAGATTTATGCATAGTATCAAGTTCTATAGTCAACATTTTTAGTATTCCTACAACTGTAAAAACAAGGAACATTGGACTGAAAAAATGGCAAGATTTATATAGGAAGAAGGGTATTATGCCAATAAGAAAATTAAATCTGTAGGCAGAAGTTTCTTATTTAAAAACTGTTATGGGGCATATATTAATTTGTATCTGTGCCACAAATCACTGAGAAAAATCATATAATATTCATAATTGTTAACGAGATGATATTTAAAGAGTGTTAAAAATGAGACTATTAGTCATGAAGCTTACAGTGTTACTTTGTTTCAATATTACACTTTTATTCTTGTAAAATCTATGATGAAGTTCAAAAGCATTTTGCAATGGCCTTAAATTGTGAGTTGTGAGCCAGGATTTATAGTAAAGGTATTTGATGCAATGAAACTTAATCGGTACCTTCCAGTATGTATTTTAGTAAGGGGATTGTCAATCCCATGTTTTTAAATAGATAAAATACAGGCCAAAGTTGACAATATTACAGTTGAGAAGAAACTATTTTATCTTAAAAAAAAATTTCTTAAAATTCTGAGATCATATAATCTAATTTTCTTAATAATAAATTAGGTATATGTACATACAGAATTTTGTTATGGACAAATAAGGATCGACAAGCTTCTTTTGTGCAAAAAATAAATGATTTTTTCTAGTATTACGACAAACCATAATGTGTTTTACAAACTTACCGGTAACAGTTTTTGTTTATAATAAAATATTTAGGAATAATTTGGGTTGTTTATCAATATATTAATGACTTGAATTTTGACAAATCGAATTTGTATCAAAATAATTTTACGAAATATAAAATTGATGTTCTATTACAAGATTGAGTTTTTATTGTCGACAAAAACCAGGATAAATACTAATAATAATACCCTTAATAAAATCAATGATGTTTATGTATTATGAAAATATTTGTTAGAGGACATGTTATGTAACAGTTTTTGAAACATAATTTGAAGGGACGAATAAAAAAAATAAAACAAAAACATATTTTTTCTAGGTTTATATTAAAAATACAAGGTAGATAATCATCAAAAATAATTATGAACCAAATGTTTTTTATGAATATACAACTTGAACAAAAAGTTGTTTAGAACAATTTTTACCAAATTTGCAAAAATTTTAAATTGAAACGCGTAATTCAGTACAAGTAAACATGAAATATTGTAAATACTTATTTAATATCATTTCGAGTGTTTTACGACGAAAAGGTCATCTGTCCGTAGCGTCTTTTGTCAGAATATTCGTATATTTAGTGTATTATATACCAATATTGTACGCAGTTTTGAAACTGATAATTAAATAAATCATATTAATGTTAACTAACCATAATAAATGATAGAATTTCACTAAATTGAAATTGCCCCCCGTATGGTTGAAAACAGCAAATTGATATTTGATTACTTATAGATTACCACCTATATACAAAATGACAGGAAGACCTGGAATATGGCGCCCAACTTGATTAGACCTTCTGCGCATGTTGACGCTCATTCTCTATCCCTTCTATTTCTCTGGGTAAAAGTCAAGGTTGCTTTGAGAAATTAAAACATAAGTTCCTTAAGCTTTACACTGCTTTACACATTACATCTTCTGTTCTATAATTATAAGAAATAATAATTCTGTAATAAGGTTGACTCATACTATACGAAAATGTCTTATATGTTAGCACATTTGCACAATGGGTGGCAAGTAGATCAAGCAATATTATCTGAGGAAGATCGAGTTGTGGTAATTGTATTACTGAGTACGTTCAGGGATGGTCAGCGGCTGAGTAGCTAAAAAAGCTACTTTCCTGAACTGTCTTTTCTGATATACAGCCATAGTTAGCTGCTGAGCGAAATTCTCAGGAGTAAATATTTAAGCTGGACAAAGCAGCAATGTTTATTTTTCTACTTTTCTATGTTTATACTGTAGTCAACTGTATGTAGAATAAATGATTATTTTCCATCAGAAAAATAATCAGCTATCGTAATATTTTTTTAAACTAATATTTACCATCTGTGAAATTTTAGCAAATACCCTGAGATTTCATAAAGCAAAGACAGGGAGAATATTTGCTGGAAGTTAGCTGCTGTAGCCTCTGAACGCGCCCACTGATAAAAGTTATATAAAATACTTATGCAGTCGATTACATAAACTATTTTGTTCTATTTTTCTTATAAAAATATCTACTACATTATTTTTTTAGTTCTAAATTTTGTAATGCTACTATTGCATATGCTTTAAACTAAATATTATAATGTTGATTATATTGAATTCTGAGTGTTCTTTCCTAATGTAGGTAATTCGTTTTGGGCATGATTGGGATCCTTCTTGTATGAAAATGGATGAAGTCTTATACAGCATAGCCGAAAAAGTAAAAAATTTTGCTGTTATTTATTTAGTTGATATCACAGAAGTACCAGACTTCAACAAAATGTAAGTAAATATAAATATATTGATATGTTACTATGTATTGCGTATGTTTACAAACTGTGACCTGTATAATTAAAAGAAATACCACAGACTAAAAAATACTTAACTTTGATGTAATTTAAAATTATGCATAAGACATAGATTTCAAATATTCTAGTTTTAAATAAATTTTAGGTATGAATTATACGATCCATGCACAGTAATGTTTTTCTTTAGAAACAAACATATAATGATTGATTTGGGTACTGGTAATAACAACAAAATAAATTGGCCTCTCGAAGATAAACAGGAAATGATAGATATTATAGAGACTGTTTACAGAGGAGCAAGAAAAGGAAGAGGTTTAGTGGTTTCACCAAAGGACTATTCGACAAAATACCGATATTAAAGTGTATATTTTTCTACTAAATTTTATTTATTAACATTAAAATGATATATTTAAAAAATTTGTACATAAAATTTACATGTCATTTGTAGATTCTTCAGGAACTAGCTGAATTAAATCTTTCGAACCAAAAGTATGTTTAACTAAAACAAAATAGTGTTTTTAGTATACTAGTATATAAATTAAACTTTATTTACCAGGATCAATATTCTGCAAATCAAATACTGTGAAATTGTTAGACTTTTTGTCACCACCCATGCTAATTACAAAAGGTGAATCAGGGCAAAGTTCTAAACAGTGTATACTGCCAATTCCAAATTCCTTTTCATTAATTAACCTGAATTATATGTTATATTTTTATTAATAGGTAAACTTAAAGAAGGAATATATTACCTAGGAATGTTATCATCATTAAAATCCCATGTTTTTACTGTTTCATCGGGAGATGCTGTTACTAATAGTCCAGGACATTGAGAGCTAATTGCCAAACCAGTAACTTCATTTTGATGAGCCTCTAGAGACCACAATTTACCTAATAAAATAGTATATTTGTTAGAAAACACAATTACATATTAGTATATTCCATCACTTATTTACCTTTTCTACAATCGAAACACTCCACCTGACCAGTACTTGTACCTGCCAGAAACATAAAGGGCTGTAGAGGGTTCCATAATAGCCTTTCCGCTTCTCCACTTAATGACCAAGTTTGATGATTTTCAGGAGTTCTGCAGTCAAATACTCGCGCTGTACTATCACAACCACCTGAAAATTAAATCTTTAAAACCACTTAATTGGCTTTAAATAAAATGATTTCACCTGCCAACAGTGTTTGTCCTTCAAACTTATGCCACTCTAAACACTGCACTTTTTCCTCAAATGCATTAATTGTGGTACTTGGTGTCTGTGTCTCCATATCCCACAATAAAATTGTCTGATCTACAGATCCACTGGCTATTACGTGTTCATAGACCTTATTCCAAGCTACAAAAATGAAAGATTTAAAATTGTAAATAAATTAATAGCTTAATAAATTTTACCCAAAGCTAAAACAGCATCCTTATGGCCTATAGCATCTTTTCTTTTTCTAACACTTGCTGATTTTCCCAATTTAAATGCAGGTTCAATACAGTTCATAATATCTATATCCCAAATCTATAAACATACTAGATGATATATAGATTAAATTTTGATAAATAGACTTCACCCCAATTATTGGAGACATTGTCCCTATAGCACAATAATTGCCTTTTGGCTGTTGCGGTTCATAATTTAGCCATTCTATACATAAAGGAAACGCAGGCAACAAAATATCATGATGTACATAGAATGATTCCTCCTCTTCATTGTACACTGTATTTAAGATCATTTGCTTAATATTATTTTTTTCTACGTAGTATATATAAACTCACCATATACCTCCAGCATACTAGCATCTCCCTCGACATGTCCAACTAAAATAAGATTATCCGTTTCTTTGATAAGATCGTCTTCCTTTTCAGAATCATCAGATTCTGAAAAATGGTCTTCAGCTTCTGTAGGCAATTCAGCAAGTGAATGAATTCCTAGCGCTTGGGCAGTTTGAGTTTCATCTAGAAATATATTAGGTATAGGTATGTATATATTGTAAAATATACTTATTTAAATAACTTTACCTACCATCTTGATCATACCCCTCTAAATTAAATTCATCTAAACTGTTTTCACTTTTCATTTCAACATCTCCATTCTGATTTCCTTGATTATCAACATTGCTATAACAAAATCAATGCATCCTTTTTATAAAAAAAAAACTAAAAAAGCTTGCAATAAGTAATTTTTTTACCTCAGTTTCTCTTTTGCATCATTTATTATCTGCACCAACTCATTTTTTGATAATTGAATCTAAAATAAAACAAGTTAATTTGGTATATATCTTGCTTAACAATATCTTTTACATTAACAGGATGTGTATTAGCAGCTCCTTTTTTTATCCATTTTAAACAGGGAACAAAATTAATGTTTGTTTCGGAATTATTTTCCATTTCCATATTTATACTAGATTTTATTTTTTTAACGTGCAGCGCAACGTGACAAACTCTGGTGACAAATACAGGTTAAGTATAATTCTTCATCTTTGGTAAAGTTAGGTCTGAGTTAGGTTCAAAAAACTCTCTGTATTTTGCTGCTAAAGCCGTGCTAAAGCTCTGGACAGGGTCGACTTTGTTTATGCGGAATCCGAACAGCGGTCCTCGGCCATATTATGGTAAAGTGGTCAATACTACCGATTTGGAGAATGTTTAAAAATCGACTCTACTCACAAGATAGTCGATCTCCTCCGGCCACGAGCCAGCCAACCCTTGTCCATTTTTTGTTATCCGCTTGTGGCAGCTAATGGCCATTAAACGCAAAAGATGAAAATGTCAAATGTGACGTCTTGGTCTGACGTTGACAACGTTGACGAGTTTTTAAAGGTAAACAAAACGTCATCGAAATGGCCGGGGAAAACTCGGAAACTACGATAAAATTAGAAAATCTTAGTATAAGTGACAAAAACGGCTTTGATTTAAATGGTACTCAATCAAGTGATATTATCGAATCAGGTTTACCCCTTGATGATGTTTATAGATTAGCGCTTAGTTTTTATAAAGGTAAAATTTTGTCTTACAGCCTTGAATATCAGTTTTTAGGATAAATTTACGATAATTTAATAACTATTTGTAAAAAATCAATGTACTATAAGTGAATACAGTTTTAATAATCACATAAGTGTACCTTTATTAAGTATTTAAATATTCTTAAATCTATTATAATCTAAAATACTTATAGATATATATAAAAAAATTTAGCAATTATTTTTTTACAGCATATTTATAGTTTATTTTTCTAAAAAAGTGCCACAAAATCTAGTTATAATTAACTTAAATAAATAATAAAAATCCTAGTTATAATTAACACCTATCTAACAAATTTCTGTGACACATAAGCACTTATGTACAACCATTGTCTATTAATCAAGGGTACAACCTATCTATTGTTCGTAAGGGTGTATTTCCAAAATGTTAAGAAGTGGAGTGAAATATAAAATTAATCAATTTCCATGTATCTAAAAACATTTTGGTACCATCCATCTAATTAGTAATCTTTAAAGGCGTCATAACATATTCAGAGATGTACATTTAAATAAATTACTGATCAAATAATCTTTAAATATTATTTTCTTTAATTATTTTACAGTTAGGTGTTTGTAGATTGGCCATTATTGGCCATTTTAACTAAATTATATCAATATTTAGCTTTTGCTTACTACTGGTATACAATATAATTCTATTTTTAGAAAAAAGTGGTAAAGCTTGTCATTTCACTTATGAAGATAATTTGCAATTAGTTGCTTTTTCTCAACAAGTTGTTCATGGTCCATTGACAGATGTAATAAATAAACTACCTCCTTTAGGTACTTTGGATGTAGTTGGCAAGGATAGGCGGTAATACATATGCTGAGACACTACTTATAATTTACTAAAATATATTGTTACAGTGAGGCTTGGTTAAAGCTTGGTCAACTATCAAAAGATCAAGCTAGGACCGGTTTTGTTGAATTGTTAAGTAGGAGATGTCCCCTTTTTTCTACATTTGTTGAAGCTCACAGGAGAGAGCGCGATGAACAGAAACGAAAGCAGTAAGTCATTAAAGTCTAAAGTTAACTATAGTTATGAGCACTTTTTTAGAAAAGAAGATATGTCTAAAAGAAGTGAAGAAGAGGCAATTCGAAAGAGAAAAGAGGAAGAACACCAATTGGCTTTGGAACAAATGCAGCAACAAGAAGCGATTAAACGACAAATTCAACAAGCTTTGAATGAACAAACTTATGATCAGTTCAGAAAATATGCCGAACAACAATATCCAGGAGATCCAGAAAAACAAGGGACACTAATAAGGCAGTTGCAGGAACAACATTACATTCAATATATACAGCAGTTAGAACTCTCACAAAGAGCTGATCAGATAAACGAGAAGAGTGAAGTAGCCAGTAATGATGGTGATGTAAGTGTCACTTTATATAGTAGGTGATTCAGAGTTTCAAAACAGATGGGTTTCCTATTTGAGCCTATTTGAGATTCTCAATACAATAATTCTTATAAAATGTGGGCAATAGTAGATAAAATTTTTGTTATCTACTGTGAAAGAAAATCAGTTGAAAAATGAACACCTTGTAAAAATTTGCTTTGTAAAATTATACTGTATTAATTATATATTTTATCAGAATACAAAAACTAAAGAAGAGACTGAAACAAATGAAAGTTTACATGAAGATGATGATGAAGAAGAATGTCCTATATCAGCTGCCAGTATGTGGACCCTTCCAGATATTGACACATTTAAACAGAAGTAAGAAATAGTCTGTTTATTTTTAATATACTATACAAATGAAGATTTTTGATCAAACAAAATATCTTATAACTAATAATTTTTTAGGGTTTCTCAAACTGAAGGTGACGGTGTTGTCAGGGTGGGCCATGGTGAGACAATTACTGTCAGAGTTCCTACACATCCAGAAGGGTCGCGGCTATTCTGGGAATTTGCCACAGATCACTACGACATTGGATTTGGCGTATATTTTGAATTTGGCACCCCTATGACAGAAGAGGTATCTGTTCATGTTTCTGAAAGCGACGATGAAGATGCTGAAATTGACGAAGAAGAGCTTTATGCAGATGAAACCCTAAGACGCGATCTTGAAGCAGGAGGTAATAGACTTTTCCTTTTGTGTGGATTATAAAAAAATTGCAAATTATTTGTATTTTTAGGATTAGACTTGCCATCGATTGCAAAGCCAACTGTTGTTGAAATAATACCAGTGTATAGACGCGACTGTCAGACAGAAGTGTATGCTGGTTCGCACTGCTATCCTGGAAGAGGTGTCTATTTACTTAAGTTTGATAATTCTTATTCGTTGTGGAGATCCAAAACTCTTTATTATAGGGTATATTATACACATTAAATTATTATTAATTATTTTAAATTATTGTTAGGTTATCCACAAATTCCTGCTTAAAAACTATTTACTTAATATATTTGGATTATTTATTATCAAAGAATGATTTAGAAAAAGTTCAATATTCAAAAATTCAGTAGGAACTTCTTTGAAGAATCTAAATTTTGGGCAGTCATGTTTTCTTTAAGACTGAAGAAAAGCTTATTACCCTATAAATTTTATTTATTGGCCAAGCCATATTACTAGATGGAAGTAAATTAATATTTTCCCATCAGTTAAAATAAATGTAACTTGTTGCTGATTACAGTACATAATAAAAAAAACAACCCTAAATGGTAATGTTACTGTATCCATAAATTTGTCTCAGTGATAAATTTTGTGACATTGTTTTTTTTTCTGTTTGTGCAATAATAAATATATAATAAATAAAATAGATTTATAATGAAGCAATTTGTATTTATTATTTGTATAATTTGATATTCTAAAAGGCACATTCGGATATACATATTGAATAAAAACATTTTATCACTTCATAAAATATACATTAAACATTTCTTTTTAATATGTAAATAACATTTATGGCATAAATATTTAGAACTGTTCAGGCAAATGCTTAATATACCAGTTACAACTACTCCAGAAGAAAAAAGTCTAAGTAAAATTATCTAACGAAAACAATTAGTATTTTAATTTGTATTATTACACCTCTGCATTTCAATAAATATTTAAGTAGTTGAAATTTAATATTTTCTTTCTCGAGCCTCATAAAAATATTTACTGATAAAATATAATTGACATAAACTCTCTGACATTTCAACTAATATAGAGAATTACTAAAAAACACTTGTATATGAATTCTTAGTTATAAATAAAAGTAAAACTTATCATTATAATTTCGAAAATAATAATATAAAAGACCTAATTAATAACCTTTAATATTTTGGCTGGCTTAAAGACTTCAGTTTCTTGGCAATAAAATATCCTAATTCCTGAGATGGATTCTTTTCTGGAGTCATAATCAGTCTTCTTCTAAGTCTTGGATTTATATCAGATTTTCGAACCACAACTGGTTCCGGAGTCTTTTCTCTTGGTGGACCCAATAACTTCAACCTATAGGAATTATTTTACAAAAATCTTTATGGCAAATAATATTATTTTTATAAATACCTATCATATTCAACAGGGGACCAAGTTATAGGTTTCTTTCTTGGACCTCTCTGTATCACCAATAATTCTTCAACATTGCTGTTTTTATTTGGAGTATTTTGATCTGGAGAAGTCTCGTTTATTTCACTTAAAGCCAGTCTTAAAGATCTACGAGGTAGATTTTGATCGTTTTCAACTTCCTCCTCCATAATAATAATGGCTTCACATGAAGAACGTTCAACCCTTAAAATCCGTTAGAAGGGTTGAAGATCTTAGGGTCTCGATTCACTAGGATAATTTCGAAGTATCGAAGTTAGTTATTTGGAAATTTTCGTTAATAATCATACACTATAATGCAGAAATTGGTAATGAAACTAGGTAACGTTTTCCCGCTATTTTTATAATCAGAAAAGAACTTTTGGCAACCTATGGCAGTTTGTTTACATCATATTTAAATGTAGTATTTTGGATTTTGGTAGAGAGGGAAGAGACCGGAAGAGACACAGACAGAGATAGCAAGAGACCTGTAGAGCATAGATATAGGGCGAAGTGCACGCAACAGATGGTGAAATGACGAGTCTGTCCTTTAATTGAAGGGGAATTAAAGCGAAATAAAAAATATAATTTCTTTTAATGCCAACGAGGTGGACAGATTTGTCTGTCTGTAGATAAATTGTAGCCATTGAGCAGAATAATATATTATACCCTTAAATCTATGACTTGAAGACTTGAATTCAAACCTTTATTTAAACAATGTGCGCATTAGGGAACACAACGGCTGACCGACCACTGAGAATTTTCCTCAGCGGCTTACTGTTTTTGTGTGTAAAAAGCAATAAAAAGAGACCGTTTTGGGAAATCGCTTACTCAGCCACTGGTCGTCTCTGAACGCGCACAATACCAGATTTTAAAAGCCGGATAGTCCTAGTAGCTTAGGCCTTTAAATCAATAAAAAAATCAGATTTTAAAGAAGAAGAATTAATAAGGTTATGCTAATTAATTTTTGACAGTTGTATTAAAAACACAAATCATCCTTAGGGCTACACAAAAGTTTTCTATTAAAGGTTTCTAACAGTTTTTCAGTAATAAAAAGCCAACCGAAGATGTCTAAAATAAGTGAGGTAGCTGCTCTTAGTAAACAGTTAAAGTCCGAATGGAATTCGTCTCACAGGAATTTGAGTAAATGTGAGAAATTGTTGACAGATTTAAAGGTATTTTTTTATACTTTTTTAAAAGCTGTAAAAACTATTTTATCATTTTTCTAGCTTCAACTTACAAATCTCATATTTTTACCAACATCAAATATAACTGCCTCTAAGCAAGAGTTACTGTTGGCAAGAGATGTGCTAGAGATTGGTGTACAGTGGGCAATAGAAGCCAATAATATACCTGCATTTGAGAGGTTCAAAATATGAGTTTTTAATAAGTATTTGTATTGAATTGATCTGGTCTTTTGAAGGTATATGGCACAACTAAAGTGTTATTATTTTGATTACCAAAATCAGCTTGAAGAATCTACGTATAAATATCAACTTTTGGGTCTAAATCTTCTATTTTTGTTATCACAAAACCGCGTGGCTGAATTTCACACTGAATTAGAACTGTTACCTACAGAACATATTCAAAATGATGTTTACATTAGACATCCGCTAAGCATTGAGCAATATCTGATGGAAGGAAGTTACAATAAGGTAAAAGCTATATTCTCTTAAGTTCTTTATGTCTTTAATTATTTGGTATTTTAGATATTCTTAGCGAAAGGAAATGTACCAGCTAAAAGTTACAACCTATTTATGGATATTTTGTTGGATACAATACGTGGAGAGATCGCAGCATGTTTAGAAAGTGCTTTTGAAAAAATTTCGGCCAAAGATGCGGCTCGCATGTTATATTTGCAGAGTGAAGAATCTCTAAAAAACTTAGCTGCCAAGGTATTTAACTGCAATTTTCAAAATTCTTGTAAAATAAGTCACTGTTAATGATATTTTGAAAATTCTAATTATTAAAACTTGTGTTGTTTCAGAAAAATTGGAAACTTGGTGTAGATAGATTTTTTTACTTTACACCTGAGGTGAAAAAGACTCACGAACCTATTCCTTCAGTAGAATTGGCAGAGCAAGCCATTGAATATGCTAGAGAGCTAGAGATGATAGTATAAGTTTATTTAATTTCAATTAATAAATATTTTAATTCTTTATTATTTTTTTACCAAATATGTAAATAAAATAATACCCTATGCTGTCATATCTCTAAATTTCTTGTATTGGCAAGAATTTCAACAGAATAAAATCAGAGTATTTAAAAAACAGTAAGATAAAATTTTTTTTTTACATTGTCCGATTGTTATGTTTGTGTATAAAATTGGGCCCACCGCTTTTTTTGAGGATAGCAAAACTCTTTTATGTCTTATATAACAAGTAGTTAAGAATCTTTTTTAATGTTTTTTTTTTTCAAAAAATCATTCATTTTATTATATTTCTTCATTATATTTATTTTTATATTGAGTAGAAATTGAAATATAGATTGAAATAATAAGAATTTGGATTATTTCTACTGTATTTTTTTGTCAAAAAGTAAGGAAAAGAGGAACGCATAAAATATGAAAAACGTATTAAATACCATTAAACACAGAATATAGTGTTAAGTAAAAACCATTTAAAAATGGACTAACTATAGATGGGATCATCAAATAATAAAGGTTGGGACCTATAGACTGCTATAGGCTTGGTGCATTTCAGTTGATTTCAAAATATTCCTACCGCAGCGCTCTCTGCGGCAGAAATCAGAAATGTTCGCTATGGATTTCACGCCGTCCCTGTTACAGTTCATGTTTATCGCATTAAAATAATATTGAAATCGTGGCCTTTAAATAATATTTAAGTATTTTAGTTTTTTGTTAGTGCAGTTATTGAAACTATAAAACTATCAGGTACGAGGTTTGTGTGGTGTAACGTTGTTTGTGGTAGTAAAAATTAAGTGAAAAACTCAACTGGGCGTCGCGTTGTGTTCTGACAATTTCAAATGTTAATAAAATTGCCGAAAAAAAGTTAACGCGTAAAGGAGAGCGTAATTACGTGGTTGTTTGGTACAATATCATTCAATAACTCAACTTTCCGGAATATTCAACTCTTCCGAATCAACATTTTATAGCTTCACAGCTTCTCAAACGAATTTGATCAAAAGCAAAAATGAATTCATGTAGTTCGCGGAAACAAGTGCGAGTGTGTCCATTATATCATCAAAAAATTAAATAGACATACCGTATGTGATAAAATATAATTTAATTAATGGTACCTATACCCTTTTTTACTATAGCCTTTTTTATCAACTAGTCCTTAATTTTTTTATGAATATCTTCTAAAATTATAATGATGTAGCTTCAAAAAATTTCGTTGTGACCCCACTAGCAAAACGGATGCGTAAATAATAAATTATAATACAAGTTAAACCCTCTGAATATATCAAAATATCTTTGCAAAATATTTACTTTTTTTATTTTTTTAGAATGTTCACAAATTATACTTCCTCAACTTTTAAAATAATTATATAAACATTTTTTCGTATACTCACTATTTAAACCCGTGTATTTGTATATACCGATTGTTTACGATATTCTCCGATGGTGGCAGCACCGGCGAAGAATGCACCAATAAGCCTGTAGATAAGGAACTAACTTAATTAATTTTGCTGTCAAGAATCGCTTGTCTAGCTAGAGGTATTTACATCTCTACACTCCATAGACCAACCCTAACGAAAAAGGGGTTCTTATTGTGAGCACTATATGTATTGGCAGATTTCATAAGAAAAATATAGTCAGTGGCGTAGCAAGGCGGGGGCTGAGGGGCGGGCCGCCCCTGTCGACGACCCTCCAAGTATCTACGGGGCGAGAAAAATTGTTGTTAAAGGGCGGCGGACAGATTCTGTAGGGGCGGCAAAACCTCTCTCCTAGAGGCTTTCCGCCCCGGGCGCCCCTAACCCACGTAACGCTGCCTATAATATAGAAAACAACATTTTAATGAACAGTGCTTTCCATATAATCAATAAAATGAAAATTATACAAAATAATATACATGTACTGATTTTTTTCGAAAATCGACATGTACGAAACTATGATCCCTTCCCCGACACAAACGGTACATTGTGAGATAGGAAATTCTAGAGAGAAACAAGCCCTATAACATAGAATACAACATTTTAACGAACAGTGCTTTCCATAAAATCAATAAAATGAAAAATATACGAAATAATATACATGTACAGATTTCTTTCGAAAATCGACATCTATGAAACTATGATCCCTTCCCCGACACAAACGGTACATTATGAGACAGGAAATTGTAGAGAGAAACAAGCCCTATAACATAGGATACAAGATTTTAACGAACAGTGCTTTCCATAAAATTAATAAAATGAAAAATATACGAAATAATATAAATGTACTGATTTTTTTCGAAAATTGACCAGTATGAAACTATGATCCCTTCCCCGATACAAACGGTACATTGTGAGACAGGAAATTGTAGAGGGAAACAAGCCCTATAACATAGGATACAACATTTTAACGAGCAGTGCTTTCCATAAAATCAATAAAATGAAAAATATACGAAATAATATAAATGTACTGATTTCTTTCGAAAATCGACAACTATGAAACTATGATCCCTTCCCCGACACAAACGGTACATTGTGAGACAGGAAATTGTAGAGAGAAACAAGCCCTATAACACAGGATACAACATTTTAACGAACAGTGCTTTCCATAAAATCAATAAAATGAAAAATATACGAAATAATATACATGTACAGATTTCTTTCGAAAATCGACAACTATGAAACTATGAACCCTTCTTGGACACAAACGGTACATTGTGAGATAGGAAATTGTAAAGAGAAACAAGCCCTATAACATAGGATACAACATTTTAATGAACAGTGCTTTCCATAAAATCAATAAAATGAAAAATATACGAAATAATATACATGTACTGATTTCTTTCTAAAATCGACATCTATGACACTATGAACCCTTCCTGGACACAAACGGTACATTGTGAGACAGGAAATTGCAGAGAGAAACAAGCCCTATATAACATAGGATACAACATTTTAATGAACAGTGCTTTCCATAAAATCAATAAAATGAAAAATATACGGAATAATATACATGTACCTACTTGCTTATTTACATGATTACATGCTTCTTTCGAAAATCGATATCTATGAAACTATGAACCCTTCCTGGACACAAACGGTACATTGTGAGACAGGAAATTGTAGAGAGAAACAAGCCCTATAACATAGGATACAACATTTTAATGAACAGTGCTTTCCATATAATCACTAAAATGAAAAATATACGAAATAATATACATGTACATATTTCTTTCGAAAATCGACATCTATGAAACTATGATCCCTTCCCCGACACAAACGGTACATTATGAGACAGGAAATTGTAGAGAGAAACAAGCCCCAAGCCAAGAATATATCAAAATATCTTTGCAAAATATTTACTTTTTTTATTTTTTTAGAATGTTCACAAATTATACTTCCTCAACTTTTAAAATAATTATATAAACATTTTTTCATATACTCACTATTTAAACCTGTGTATTTGTATATACCGATTGTTTACGATATTCTCCGATGGTGGCAGCACCGGCGAAGAATGCACCAATAAGCCTGTAGATAAGGAACTAACTTAATTAATTTTGCTGTCAAGAATCGCTTGTCTAGCTAGAGGTATTTACATCTCTACACTCCATAGACCAACCCTAACGAAAAAGGGGTTCTTATTGTGAGCACTATATGTATTGGCAGATTTCATAAGAAAAATATAGTCAGTGGCGTAGCAAGGCGGGGGCTGAGGGGGCGGGCCGCCCCTGTCGACGACCCTCCAAGTATCTACGGGGCGAGAAAAAATTGTTATAAAGGGCGGCGGACAGATTCTGTAGGGGCGGCAAACCTCTCTCCTAGAGGCTTTCCGCCCCGGGCGCCCCTAACCCACGTAACGCTGCCTATAATATAGAAAACAACATTTTAATGAACAGTGCTTTCCATATAATCAATAAAATGAAAATTATACAAAATAATATACATGTACTGATTTTTTTCGAAAATCGACATGTACGAAACTATGATCCCTTCCCCGACACAAACGGTACATTGTGAGATAGGAAATTCTAGAGAGAAACAAGCCCTATAACATAGAATACAACATTTTAACGAACAGTGCTTTCCATAAAATCAATAAAATGAAAAATATACGAAATAATATACATGTACAGATTTCTTTCGAAAATCGACATCTATGAAACTATGATCCCTTCCCCGACACAAACGGTACATTATGAGACAGGAAATTGTAGAGAGAAACAAGCCCTATAACATAGGATACAAGATTTTAACGAACAGTGCTTTCCATAAAATTAATAAAATGAAAAATATACGAAATAATATAAATGTACTGATTTTTTTCGAAAATTGACCAGTATGAAACTATGATCCCTTCCCCGATACAAACGGTACATTGTGAGACAGGAAATTGTAGAGGGAAACAAGCCCTATAACATAGGATACAACATTTTAACGAGCAGTGCTTTCCATAAAATCAATAAAATGAAAAATATACGAAATAATATAAATGTACTGATTTCTTTCGAAAATCGACAACTATGAAACTATGATCCCTTCCCCGACACAAACGGTACATTGTGAGACAGGAAATTGTAGAGAGAAACAAGCCCTATAACATAGGATACAACATTTTAACGAACAGTGCTTTCCATAAAATCAATAAAATGAAAAATATACGAAATAATATACATGTGCAGATTTCTTTCGAAAATCGACAACTATGAAACTATGAACCCTTCTTGGACACAAACGGTACATTGTGAGATAGGAAATTGTAAAGAGAAACAAGCCCTATAACATAGGATACAACATTTTAATGAACAGTGCTTTCCATAAAATCAATAAAATGAAAAATATACGAAATAATATACATGTACTGATTTCTTTCTAAAATCGACATCTATGACACTATGAACCCTTCCTGGACACAAACGGTACATTGTGAGACAGGAAATTGTAGAGAGAAACAAGCCCTATATAACATAGGATACAACATTTTAATGAACAGTGCTTTCCATAAAATCAATAAAATGAAAAATATACGGAATAATATACATGTACTTGCTTATTTACATGATTACATGCTTCTTTCGAAAATCGATATCTATGAAACTATGAACCCTTCCTGGACACAAACGGTACATTGTGAGACAGGAAATTGTAGAGAGAAAC